TATTTTTTTTTAGATTTGTCTTGGAATCCATTCTGACTCACAGTGACCCATGCGTTTCAGAGTAGAGCTGGGCACTCCACAGGTTTTCAATGGGTGTGATCTTTTGGAAATAGACTTCCAGGCCTTTTCTCTGAGGAACCTCTGGTTAGACTAGAACCTTCAACATTTCCGTGAGCAGCCAAGCATGATCCAGCTGCCCAGAGACTCCAGCCATCATAAGAAAACAAAAACACTCTGACACATAGCAAAACCACGCGCTACAGAGTAGAACTCATGCACAGGGTTTTCTTGGCTGCCATATTTATGGAAATTGATTGCCAGGACTTTCTTCAGTGGTACTACTAGGTGGGTTTGGACTTCCAAACTTTAGGTGGTGAATCGCCAACCTTTCATTTCTGTATTAGGGGAATTTCCAAAGGAAGAGGAAGAGGGAGGGGAGGTCTGGAGGCACCAGGGAAGACAGTAATAGTGGACAGGGCTGTCTGCTGAGACAGAGCAAAAACAGGGCGTTGGACCTGGAAGTAGGAAGACAGGCCCCAGTTCAAACCCCAGACCTTCTAGTTAAGTGCCATGGCGCGGGTTCCAAATCAGCGACCTTTTATAGGGTTTCCAAGGCTGTAAATCTTTGCGGGAGCAGAAAGCCTCATCCCGCGCAGCAGCTGGTGGGCTGAACCGCTAACTTGGTGGTTCACAGTCCAGTGCTTATCCTAAGGAGCCACCTTGCTTCCCTCCTTCTTCCACATACTCGCTTCCTAATCAAGAACAAGTTCTTTAACTTTAAAGAGGAAGGTTCAGCTTCCTCTTCAGTCCAGTGAAAATCAAACCTCAGCCTCTCCCCCCCCCGCCCCCCCCAATCGCTAGGAGAATTCCAAGGGGGTGGGTGTTTAAGGTAGAGCTTTTCACCTGTGACCGTGTGACATCAAATCAGTGTTGTTGTCATTATCTGATTGCTGTTGTGAAGGGGACGATTAGGCTCCAGGGCTCCGGGAGGCAGCCCCAGCCCCCTCCGGGTCTCTGGGCGGCCCCACCCCAGGCCACTGCAGCCGGAGGTGCGTTGCCAAGAGCTCAGGTATGCGGAGGCGGGACGGCCCGGGGAGGGAGCGGGAGGTGGGGCCCGAGGCCTGGACAGGAGAGCGGAGCAGAGCCTCTCTTGCCCCAGAGCCGGACGGGGTAGGTGAGAAGAGGGACAGCCGGCGGGTGCGTCAGGGAGAGAGAGATGCGGACGCAGAGTCCTGGCTCTGAGGGGGGAGGGGCTGGGGACGCAGATTTTTCAGTCTGAAGGAGGAGGGGCTAGGGGTCTGGACTCCCGGGTCTGAGGGAGGAGGGGCTGAGTAGCTGGACTCTTAGGTCTGAAAGAAGGTGTCCTGCTGGCGCATTGGGTTAAGTGTTGGGCTGCTAAACGCAAGGTCTGTGGTTCAAAGCCACCGGCAGCTCCTTGGAAGGCTTATAAGGCTGTTCGACTTCGGTAAAGCTTTACAGCCTTGGAAGCCCTACAGAGGGGTTCTACTCTGTCCTATGGGGTCGCTGTGAGTCGGAATCGACTCGATGGTTGCGTGGGTGGTGTCTGAGGGTGGAGGAACTGGGAGTCTGGACGCCTGGGTCTAAGTAGTCACAAACACAGGTGCTTGTAAACCAAGTCAGCCCTCATCAACTCACTGGTCTCCAGGGCACCTCCAGGTGGACAGGAGCGCTCCATTCTCAGCACCATGAGTGCCACCACCGGGTAAGTGTCCCCCACCACCACCCCGACAACCCGTGGGTCACGTTCACGCGGCCCCAAGGGGTAACCGTGGGGTGTGAGCTGCTGTCCCCCTAAGGCTCTCCCTGTCCAGCTGTGGTCCAGAGCTCCTACGTCCCAGGAGACCGAGTTGAATCCTCTCTAAAGCATCAGCAGGGACCCCAGGGACATCACTTCTTTGTACCTTCGGTTCCTCCTCCTGAGGTCAAGGGAATCAGGGGCATGCCTGGTTTCACGCAGAATCTGACCGCCAGGTGGCGCTCAATTCGCTGCAAGTGCGTTTGCTGCCCTTGAGATTATATTGTGGGTTTTTTGTTTTGTTTTGTTTTTTCAGTGACGGTATGTGTTAAGTGTTGGACTGCTAACCTACCTCAAAGTCAGCAGTTCAAACCCACCAACCTGCATGGGAGACAGAAGAAGCTGGTTGCTCTCATAGAGATTTAGTTTCAGAAATCCTGTATAGGGTGGCTAGAAATTGGAATGCAGTGGATGACAGGGAATTGGGGTGTGGGTTTTTTTGTTGTTATTGTGGTTTGGGGCGAACGTTTCCAGAGCAAAATGGTTTTCCATTTTGTGTCATGACATGGATTTCAGTCCCTATGTTTCTTATTTCGTTTCTCCATCTTTCCCATCCCTTCCTGCCTTCTGAGCTTCCTCCTTGGACAAACGCTGCCCTTTTGATCTCATTGGCTGAGTGTTTTAAGGGGTGTGTACCTCCCTGGTGTCCTTGCTTGTATTACAGGCCTATCTATCCTTGAGCTAGAAGTTGAGCTATAGGGGTGAGGTCAATTCTAGGTTTGAAGGGTGACTAAGGATTCCAGGATTCCTTCAGTCTCGGTCAGACCAACAAACCTGGTCTTATTTATGATTTTGAATTTTGCTCCACATTTTTCTCCCATTCTATCCAGGACTCTTTCAGAACTGTCATTAGTGATAGCTGAGTCTCATCTAGTTCTTCTGGTCTTGGGGTCATGGAGGCTAAGATTCATTCCACGAGGTCTGTGAATCTCTTGGACTAATTGTTTCCTTGAGTTTTTGATTTCTTCACTCTACTTTGCTCCAGATAGAGAAATATCTTGTTCTTAAATAGTGACCCTTTCTTAGAAGATCAGGGTGTAGATCATGAAGGCTTAAATCTCCGGGAATGAGCTGGAAGCAAACACAGAGAGATGTATGGAAGTAGTACCTTGGAGGTAGTGAGCTCTCCAGCTCAGAGGTAATCTAACCTGACCTGACCAGCAGAATAAAGAGCAGTATTCAGTATTCGGTGGCTGAAAGGGTTTCTCAGTCCCCCACCAACCCCATTTGGGCTCTGAGCTTCTGTTATTTCTGTTGGAAAAGGAGACCTGCAGTCCTGACCCTCACCCCCTCTCCACCTTCTTGGAAAAGGTGACTTGAAAAGGAGGTTGAAGGGAGAAGGAAACAATGATTTGAGTAGAGAGAGCCAGTCCCATGAGGATGGGAGGGGAAGAAGATAATTCTCCATCCATGACAAACATGAATGATATTACAAGAATTCCCAGTTATTAAGCAACTACTGGATACTAAGCCCTTTGCATTATAATAATGATAATAACAGTTACCAAGGAGGCCAAACACCTGACGTGCATCAGTGCAGTCAATGTTCCAACAGGGCTATCAGGTAGATACTAGAGAGTGAACTGATTTTACAGAGAAGGACACTGAGGCAGGAGATATGAAGTCCCCTGCCCCAGGGTCTCACAGCAAGGCAGTAGCAGATAGTACACACCACACTCCCTATACCACTGCCTTCCCTGTTTTCTTAATGCTTAGCTCTGGCCCTGCCCTCTCTCCACTGCTGAAAATCCTCTATGGCTCCCATTGCCCTCACAATAAAATCTTTGCTGCTCAGCTGGGCATTTCAAACCCTGCAGAATCTGCCCCTAAATCTCACAGTCCCTCTCCTCTCTCTTTTCTTTCACTAGACCAGAAGCTGCCCCCAAACCAAGTGCCAAGTCTATCTATGGTGAGTATGGGAACAAGGAAACCCCAGGCCTACAGAGGCTGGGTCTGAGGAAACGGAGGTCCTAGACTCCTGGGTCTGAGGCAGGAGGGGCTGGGGGTCAGGACTCCTGGGTCTGAGGGAGGAGGAGCTGGGGGTCAGGACTCCTGGATCTGAGGGAGGAGAGGCTAGAGGTCAGGACTCCTGGGTCTGAGGGAGGAGGGACTGGGGGTCAGGAATCCTGCATCTGAGGGAGGAGGGGCTGGGGGTCAGGACTCCTGCATCTGAGGGAGGAGGGGCTGGGGTTTGGATTCCTGGGTCTAGGGAGGAGGGGTGAGGGTCTGGATTCCTGGGTTTACCCTCCCCACCCTCCACCCCCGCCCTACAGAGCAGAGGAAACGTTACTCCACTGTGGTTATGGCGGATGTGTCCCAGTATCCTGTTAACGTGAGTCTGGGGTCTGTGTTACTCAAGGGAGTAACACATGGGGGGAAAAGCTAGGGCTAGGGGAGATGGGGCTGGTGAAAGCATTTGGCCCAACAAGCAAAAGAAACTTGGGAGACTCAGTTTGCTCATCTATAAAATGGATTTCTACTATCTTACTTCAGAAGTTAATATGTAGCCGAGGATCTCAATTCCACTCCAGCAATCCTTGTCCTGGGCAGTCAGACCACAGGAACAATTCAGATGCATTCCTGGATGAATAGTTGTTAAGTGCCTTTGAGTCTGTTCTTATCCATAGTGACTCTATATGGGGGTCCAAGGATCAAATGATGGTTTTGAACCACCAACCTTGCGGTTAGCAGTCCAGTGCTTATCCTACAGTGCCACACCAGGACTCCTGAGTTGTTAAGTGCCTCCCAGTCAGTTCCAACTCACAGTGACCCAGTATAGGATTTCTGAGGAATGGCTGGTGTTAGCAGTCCAGTGCTTATCCTACAGCGCCACACCAGGATGCCAAGCAGGAGGGTGGCAACCCAACAAGGGCTGCCTGGCAGACCCTGGACCAGCCCAGAAGTGCCTAGAGGTACTGATGTGTGGTAGGTGTCAGGCTGTTGATTCCTCCTCATGTGACAGAGTAGAACTGCCCCATAGGGTTACCTAGGCTGTAATCTTTACAGGATTAAAGTAAAGTAGAGGGTCAGCAAAAAAGAGGACCCTCGACCAGATGGACCAACACCGTAGCTCAGACATCGGAACAATAGTGAGGATGGCTCAGAACCGGGCAGTGTTTCATTCTGTCATGCATAGAGTCGTTCTGAGTCCAAACCCACTCGAGAGCCCCTAACGACCTGGGCAGGTCACCTAAGATCTGGCCAGGTCACCAGATCTTTCTCCCGCAGAGCTTCCTGGTGGGTTTGAACTACCAACCTTTGGGTTCACACCCAAGCACTCAACTCTTTAGCCACGCAGGGGCTCCTCACTTAGATCAGACTAGGTAGAAATCAGGAGCCTGGGTGGTGCACACAGCTAACACTGCTAACTGAAAGGCTGAAAATTCAAGTCTGCTCTGAGGCCCCTCAGAAGAAAGGCCTGCAGATGGACTTCCGAAAAACTCTACAGAGCACAGTTTTCTGACACACTTGAGTTGCCATAAGTCAGAATCACAATCGGCTCCAGCTCTAATGGTTAGAGGGAAGCCGGCAAAGGAGAAAGAGGGTCTTTGTTGGGCAGGTGTTCATGGAAGGTGTTCCAGAATGGAAGGCTGGTACCAGGAAAGTGTGAGGTACCAAGCTGGCAGCGTAGACTCACTGCTTTTTTTCCTGAACAAGCACTTGGTGACATTCTGCCTGGGTGAGGAAGATGGTGTGCACACCGTGGAAGATGCCTCACGGAAGCTGGCCGTCATGGACAGCCAGGGGCGCGTCTGGGCACAGGAAATGCTGCTGCGAGTGTCTCCGAACCATGTCACTCTGCTTGACCCTACCTCCAAGGTGCTCTGGGGGTCCTTCAGGAAGGGAGGGATGGCGGCGCTTGAAGAGTTTTCCCTAGGGACCTTAGTGTGACCGTTCATCCTCCTCTTTTCTGAGCCTCTTCTGTAAAATGTGAATGCTTATTTTTATAAAGTTGGGATTGTCCCGTGGGGTTGTCTTGCTCAGGTGTGAGCCATAAGGCACTGAGCCATGAGGTCATCATGGCGTATGATTATTGGTTCTGGGCCTCAGTTTACCCTTCCGTGGCATCCTGCAGGAAGAGCTGGAGTCTTACCCGCTGGGTGCCATCTTGCGCTGTGACGTGGTGACGCCACCTGGCAGAAGCCGCTCGCAGCTGCTCCTTGTATGTCAGGAGCCAGAGCGCTCCCAGCCCGACGTGCACTTCTTCCAGAGTCTGGGCCTCGGGGTGAGCATTGGGTACTGGGGACTCCAAGATGAGCTGGGCTTTGGGGGCGGGACCAGAACTGGGCGGGGTCTGGGTAATCTGGGCGGGGCCTGAGAGGGAGGGGGATATGGGTGTGGCCTAAGGAAAGGCGGGTTCAAGATAATGAGGGTGTGGTCCTGGGAGAAAAAGGAGTCTGAGCTAAGGGGGACGTGGTCCTGGGAGAAAGGCGTGGCCTGGTTGCGTGGGTGTGGCCTGAAAGAGTCTGCTAAGGCACGTAGTTTGCACATTGGTTCCTCACTGGGTCTATATATGATGTGAGGCTAGAATGTAGACCGAAGGCTGGCACCGTCTTAGGATATGGACAGACAAGGGAGGGAAGGTCTGGGGGGAGCAGCCAGAGACAAAATAGAGATGGGGGACGAGTGTGGTCTTGTTGTTATTAAGTGCCTTCGAGTCTGTTCCGACTCACAGAGACCCAGTATAGGGTTTCCGAGGAGCGGCTGGTGAGTTTGAACCGCCGACCTTGCAGTTGAAACCGACCTTGCGGTCCAGGGGATAGGAGTCAGCTGGACAGGACCTCCAGGGGTGGGGGCGTGGCCTAGGGCAAGGACAGTGACGTAGTAGGCTGACAGGTGTGGGCAATGAGCTGTGGAATCTGTCGGGGGCGTGGCCCGGCCGGACAGTAGGTGGGGCATGGAGGGGAAGACGGGCCGGGCTGATAGCATCAGCATGATTGGCAGGCGGAGTTGATCAGAGAGGACATCCAGGGTGCATTGCACAACCACCGCTCGGGCCGTGGGGAACGCAGGGCAGCTGCTCTCAGGTAAGGGTCTGAAGTGGGAGTGGAGGACCGAGGGTGGGGGCGGCTGGGCTGGGGAGCGGGGAGGCCAGCTTCCTCTCCCTGGGCCTCAGTCTCCCGCATCTGAGAAATGGGCTGATAGGACCAGCCTGGTTCATAACGAGTTCTGAATGGAGTCAAGCAAACCCAGGTTCAAATCGTGCCTGTACCTCCCGGATAAGTTTACCCACTTCTCCCGGACCCTACTTTCCCGTTTTGGTCCTCGGTTTCCCCTCCTTCCACCCTTAATTTACCTTTAGAGAGGTGCCCACACCCATACACCAGATTTTTCCTGACCACTAACGCTTTGTTCAGTCCTTTGAGCGTATTTCTGAGCCCTGAATTTCTCCCTCCCTGGGCAGTTCGGGCGACCCAACCTCAGTTTTCTCTTTTCCCTTGAAGGGCCACACAGGAAGAGCTGCAGCGAGGACCCTCGCCGGCCGTCGAAACCCCGCCCCTGCAGCGCAGACCATCAGTCCGAGCCGTAATCAGCCACATGGAGCCCAGCGCAGGACGTGGACGACCCCAGGCAGAGCCCATCCCCGAGGCGGAAGAGGCTCGAGAGCCAGATTCAGTGGCGACCTTGAGCATCACTGACCCTGCCTCCCCGGACTTGGGCCCCCGGGGGCCTGACATGGCCAGTCTGCAGGCTGAGCGGGATGTGGTGAGCGCTTGGACCTAGGGGCGGGGCCAGACGTCTAGAGACTGAGTCGGTGCCTGGATGGGTGGGACCAGAGGCGGGGCTAGGGCGGGGCTAGCCATCTAGAGGTGGTGCTAGGGTGTGAGACAGGACCAGACACTTAGACAGAGGAAGTTAAGGCATGGAGCTTGGTCACATGTCCAGAGGCAAGGCTAGGGCGTGGGCTAGACGTCCATAGGCGGAGCTTGGGGAATGGGGCGGGGCCAGACATCTACAGATGGGTCTAGGGCTTGGGAGCAGAACCAAACATTTAAAAGTGGGGCTAGAACATGTCCAGACATCTAAGGCAGAGCTAGGTCGTGGACCAGCTGACGATAGGCAGAACTAGGGCTTGGCGTGGCGCCATACATCTAGACAGGGGATTAGGGAGTGGGACAGGTTCAGACAAGACCATATGTGGGGATGTCACTCTGACATCTAACCAGACATTCTGGGGCTGAGCTGGGGGAATAACGGAACTCTAGAGGATAAAGCACGGGACTGCAAGGTCGGCAGTTCAAACCCACCAGCAACTCCTCGGAAACCCTATACAGGGTCACTATGAGTCAGAATCGACTCAACAGCACTTAACAACGACAGAGGAAAAGCACTGACTGTGAACCACAGATCTACAGATCGAGTCCACCAGCTGTTCCGTAGGAGAAAGATGAGGCTATCTGCTTCAGCAAAGATTTACAGCCTCAGAAACCCTTTTGTTGTTGTTAAGGGTCATCGAGTAGGTTCTGAGTCATAGCGACCCTGTATAGAGTTTCCAAGGAGTGGCTTGTGAGTTTACATCATCTACCATTGAGTGCTTACCTACTTACTGCTCCACACCAGCGAACCCTGTACAGGGTCGCTATGAGTCAGAACTGACTTGACTTAACATCAAGAGGGGGCTGGAGTCTGGTGAAAGGGTTTGTTTCCGGGGGCATAACCAGACTTCTGGCGGTGTGATGGAACGATTGAAATCTGGGCCTGGCATCTGGGGGTGTGTCTGGGAATTCTTGGCTGGGGGTTTCAACAAGAGTAAGAGTCTGAGGCTTGGATGTCCCCGGATCCCGCCCCCCCACCTTTCCCAGGATATCCTGAACCATGTGTTTGATGACGTGGAAGGCTTCGTCTCCAGGCTGCAAAAGTCAGCAGAGGCCACCCGTGTCCTGGAGCATCGAGAAAGAAGCCGCAGGACCCGGCGCCGGGCGGCTGGGGGTAAGGGGCACCCTGAGTGGGATCCTAAATGCCCCCTTCTCTCCGCTCACCACCTGCAGAGTTTCCCTCTGACCCCCAGTCTGTTTTTTCCCCATTAACATTTCCTCCACCCACCAACAGAGGGCCTTCTAACGCTTCGGGCCAAGCCACCCTCTGAGGCTGAGTACAAGGATGTGCTTCAGAAAATCAAATACGCCTTCAGCCTTCTGGTGAGGACTTGTCCAGCACGGGCCATTGGGGTGGATGGTAGGGAGGAGGCCCAAGTCCAAAGTGGATCTGACCCATCCATGTACCCCCTTCCTCCACCCCACAGGCTCGGCTGCGCAGCAACATCGCAGACCCCTCCTCCCCAGAGTTGCTGCACTTCCTGTTCGGACCCCTGCAGATGGTAAGGCCCACCTCCCTAGCCCTGTTTCACCCCTGCAGCAGGAGGGACAAGGGTTAGGCTGCAAGATCTCACCACGCCCCCACACCTGCTCTCCTTGCAGATCGTGGACACTTCGGGTGGCCCTCAGTTTGCAAGTGGAGTGCGGCAGCCACACTTGACGTCTGAGGCCGTGACGCTGCTTCGTGACACCGTCAACCCGCGGGAAAGCGCACTCTGGACCTCGCTAGGGGATTCGTGGACCCGGCCGGGGTGAGAAGTGGGACTGAGAATCAGGGCACTTGGTGAAGTGAAGAGTCTGAGACGCAAGGAGCCTCCTGATTGGCGAGAAGGGACCGGTTAGGGGTAGGGCTTGGCTAGAAGGGTGTTACCAAATAAATTAAAGTGTAGCAAGATAAAATGTCAGGATGTGATTGGAGGAAAGAGGTTTACGACAAGAGGCTAACGAACAGATTGAAACAACAGGTAGCGCCAGCGCGCCTAGTAAATTTGGAATCCTAGTGTGGTGTTGTAGGATAAGTACTAGACTGCAAGGTAGGTTTGAACTGCAAGGTTGGTGGTTCAAACTCACCAGCTGCTCCTTGGAAACCCTAGATAGGGTCCCTATGAATCAGAACTGAGCCGACTGCACTTAACTACAGGGCACGGGCAGTCTTAGTTGAATGGGGTAGGACTACAGGGCTAATGAGGGTCTTAGGAAAAGCTTGGCCCACATGTTTGAAGTGAAGCTCTGGCGGTGTAGTGGGTTAACTCTTGGGCTACTGATTGAAAGGTTGGAAGTTCAAACCAACCATCCGCTCCTACTTTCATATAGATTTATAGCCTTGGCAATGCTATCGGTCAAAACTCACTGGAGGGCAGTGGGTTTGGGTTTGGTATGTGTTTGAAGAGGGGGCGGAACCTGGGCTCTTGGCCAGAAGCAGGGTTTAAGAGAAAGGGGTGGGGTTTGTGTAGCGAGTAAGTTTAGAGGCTGGGGCGGGGCTTGGCAAGGGGCGGAGAAAAACTTAAGTTATTGGAAAGACTGAGTCGGAGGCCGGTCCCTTCCCTGGTTGTAGCGTGGAGTTGCCCCCTGAGGAAGGATCCCCATACATTCCTGAGTTCTACAGTGGCTGGGAGCCCACGTCCACCGACCCACAGGGCCGCCCCTGGGAAGACCCCGTGGAAAAACAGCTCCAACACGAACGTAGGCGACAGCAGGTGAGCCCGGGAATACAGCAGGGTCAGGTGTGTGGCACCCGGGGCGCATGGCAGCCCCGCTGACTTATTGCTGTCTTCTCTCCTCCAGCAAAGTGCTCCCCAGGTTGCTGTCAATGGGTGAGTGTCTGCCAAGGTCAGATGGGACCGCTGGGGTCCCAGAAGAATTCTCCTGGCACTGACTCTGCCCTGTTTTTCTTTCTCACTTTCTCCATTCTTTCTTCCCCACCCCTCTTCACAGGTGGGTGAGATGGTGACCGGGAGGGACTCCGGGGTTGGGAGAGGGGGGAGGAGCAAGGGAGGGAGAGGGCGGGACCAGAAATCTAGGTCCAAGGGAGGAGGGAGGGCGCTGAAGGTTCAGATTCAGAGGTGTGAGGGAGGAGGAGGCTGGGAGGGAACCCCTGACTGGGTGAAGTCTAAGAGACTGGACCCCTGGGTTCTCAAAGGACTGAAAGTAGGCACTTCGCTTAAAGAGCCCTAGTTGTGCTTGTAGGTTAAGCATTTGGATGCTAAATCGATTGCAAGTTCAGCAGTTCAAACCCATCCGCCTCTTGGAGGGAGAAAGATGAGGCTGTGTACTCATATAAGGAGCTCTGGTAGCGTAATAGTTACAAATCAGGCTGCGAACCGCAAGGTCAGCAGTTCGAAACTACCAGCTGTTCCGCGGGAGAAAGATGATGCGTTCTGCTCCTGTAAAGATTTACAGCCTCGCAAACCCTGTACAGGGTGGCTATGAGTTGGAACTGACTCCAAGGCACATAACCACCACTCATATAAGGGTGTCTAGTTTCGGAAACCCTACTGGGGCAGTTCCGCCTGCGCTACAGGGCCACTGGGAGTCAGAAGTGACTCACTGGTAGTAGGTGATGGTAGGCCTGGGCAACTCCAAGCCAGGATAAGAATGAAGCGGCCCTGGATATGTGAGGAAGGAGGCCAGAGAATCAGTTATTTGGGTTTTAAAGACCTCAAATTTGGCATTTGGGAACCCTGAAGACTGAAAGCAGCGGACTTGGGACTTGAGCTGGGAGCAAGTTTTTGGTGTTAGGGTGTAGGGTCATCTCTTAGTCCCTCTGAGAGATAAAGGCTAGGAGGGCCATCTTTAGATTTCCCAGTGGGTCTAAGATATTGGCAAAGTCAGACCATGAGGAGTGCAGGTGGGGCTTCAAGGATGGAAAGGTGAAGGCAAGTGAAGTTGGAGACTTGGGTCTCTGGGGAAAGAAAGAACTCAAGGCCAGGGGTCTAGGGTCAGTGAACAAGTAGGAAGCATACTGGAAGGAAGCCACAAAGCTGGAGGAAAAGAAGGGGGGTCTGGAGGAGGGCCCTGGCCGACAAGACTTGTCAGGACATCAGCTACCGGCCCCACACAGGGGGTGCCGCGGCCCTGAAGACCCCCCCTCTCCTCTGCACAGGTACGCCTAATCCACACTGAGCCCCTCTTAGTGGGGGAGGTGAGGGGGAGGCCCAAGGAATTCTGACCCCTCACATTCAGCTTGCCTTAGACTCCCAGAAGCCCCTTCTGTACCTGCATCTTGCACTGAACAACCCTTGCTGATTTTTCTCTTCTTTCCATTTTCATTATTTATTTTGGAGAAATCATCAGAAAACTGTTCAAAGACATGTGAGGGAGCTTCAGAAAGTTTGTGGGAAAATGTCCATTATCTTTTCAGTCCATTTTCCACCATGTTTTTTTTTTAAATGTTTTATTCTGAATTGGGTGAAGGTTAACAGAGCAAAGCCTTTAGCTCTCTGTAGGTGAGGTGGGAATAATGATGCCCCCTTCCCGGAAGAAGAAGAAGTCTATGGGTTCTACAGATACATAGTTTGGAGCTCAGGCCCAGAGCAGAGCTCAAATTCAGGTCCAACTGGTTGCACAAGACAGCTGAGTGGTTGAGGGCATGACTTTGGGGCCACCCTGCCTGGGTCCCTGTCTAGTCATACCTCCTCTTGTTCTGTGACTTTGAGCAAATCAATTTACCCAGCTTCCTCTCCTGTGAAAGAAAACCCCAAATCAAACCCACGGTCACCAAGTCAATTCCAACTCATAGCAACCTTATATAGGGCAGACAGAACTATTCCTTAGGGTTTCTGAGACCATAAATCTTTACAGGAACAAATAGTCTTATTTTTCTATCTTGGAGCAACTGGTGGGTTTGAACTGCCAAACTTGCGGTTAGCAGTGCACAATGCTTAGCCCACAGTGCCACCAGGACTCCTTTCCCCTGTAAAAGGATATGATGATAGCATCCTCCTCCCAGGGTTGTTGTGAAGATTAATTCAGGTAGTTCAAGCAACAGACTTCGAACGTTGCCTGATGTCTTTGTTCTCTAGTGTGGTTGTAATAGAAATACCACAAGTGGATGGCCTTAACAAACAGAAATGTATTCCCTCATGTTTAGGAGGCTACAAGTTCAAATTCAGATGGAGCTGCAGGATAAACACTGGACTGCCAACTGCAAGGTCGGCAGTTCAAACCCACCAGCCACTTTGTGGGAAAAGTATAAGACTTCTGCTCCCATAAAGATACAGTCTCAGAAACCGAATACATACCAAGTCAGCCTCATGGCAGTAGTGCGTAGGTAGCTCTAGGGAAAACCTCTGCTCTCTGTGAGAAGGTTCTACTTCCAATAACTGTGGCTCACTGCCCCTTGGAGATCTCCAAGTATCTTGGCATCAGTCTTCCCTGGGTCTAGGAGTTTCTTGGCACAGGGACCCTGGGTCCAAAGGACGGACTTCATTCCTGGCTCTTCTTTCTTGGTGGTATGAGGTCCCCTCTTCTCTACTTGCTTCTCTTTCATCTCTTATAAAAGTCGGTAATACCTACCCCCGGGAAACTCCTCTTACATCAGATCAGGGCTGTGATCTGACTGTGGGTTTTACAGCCCACCCTCATTCCCTCACAAATGATTGGCTGCTCACATCAGGTTACATCATGGTGGATAATTACATCATAATTACATAACTGCCAAATTACATCATTGCATAATGATACACACATTTGGTGGGGGGAGGAGGGACACAATTCAATTCATGACAGCTGGCATGCAGTAGGTGCTATGTAAATGCTAGCTATTGTTTTAATTATGATTATTCATTATCATTATGCCTGAGCCCAGTGCATGAGATACTAGAGTGATAACGGCAGTTTCTAGCTGTGTGATCTGGGGCCTCAGTTTTTCTTAGCTGTAAAATGGGAGTGTACACGTGATAGTATACATATCATATGCTTACAGCACCATGCCAAGCTTGTTATTGTTAGCTGCTGTGGAGCCACCCACAACTCACGGCCACGCCATGTACAAAGGAATGAAAACCTTCACATTTATTGGTGTGTAGCTGTGGCCAAGGGGACTCATTGTCCACTCTTATAATGGACACTGTTCCGTGATGATTCTTAGGGTCTTCATTAGCTAATTTTTGGAGGTAGATCTCCAGGTTTTTCTCATCTTAGTCTGGAAATGCTGCTGAAATCTATCCACCATGGGTGACCAGGTTAACATTATTAACACTGATGGCCTAGCTTTCAGCATCATAGCAACGCAAAAGTCATCCACAGTGCCACCAACAGACAGGTAAATAGAGTGCAAAATACATTCAAAATATCATTTCAGTTTCACATCCGTTAACAGTAGAAGTCCCTGAGTGTGGAAATGGTTCATGCATTTCAGCTGCGAACCACAAAATCCGCAGTTTGAATCTACTCAGAAGTGTCTCATAAGGAAGACCTCGAGATCCACTTCTCAAAAATCAGCACCGTTCTACTTGGATGCACATGGGACCTCCAAGATCTGGAATCCATTTCAAATGGTTTTTTTTTTTTTTTTAACTTTTTATTATGATTTTGGTGAAAGTTTACAGAGAAAATTGGTTTTCCATTCAACAATGAATTCACACACGTCAAATTTTTTTCTGTTAAACAATTCATACACATTTTGTTTCTGGTGACAGATGGCAATCCCCACAATTTTAACAGCATTTCCCCCCACTTCCTCCCTGGCCTTACCATTTCCCTGGATCCTTCTTTCCCATCCCTTCCTACCTTCGGAGCTTTATCGCTTTTGGCCTCATAATGCTGATTGTTCTAAGGAGCCCGTGTACCTCCCTGCTCTTATTGCTCACCTTTCAGACCTGTCTATTGTTCCACTGAAAGTTGGCCCACTGGGTTGAGTTCCGTTCCAGGCCACAGTGGGGAGGTGAGGGAGGGGAAGGTTGTTATGTTTTAAATGAATAGTGCTAACAGGCGGCCCTGCTATATGACCTTTGCTAGGCTCTAACCCCAGCTCACCTTAAGCACGCTACAGTCTAGAGCAGCGGAGCTGGCTGGCTGCCTTCTCATCCCTGACCCTCCCTCCTCAGTCACCAGGACCCAGAGTTGGAACCTGAGCCGGAGCCCGAGCCCGCACCGGCAGGAAAGTGGTGCCTGGCTATTTACGACTTCCAGGCCCGAAACAGCAGTGAGCTCTCGGTGAAACAGCAGGATGTGCTGCAGGTTGGACGGGTGCTGGCTGGGCTGAGGGACTGCCTTGGATTCGGCTCTAGCCCGAAATTCAGGCTCTGAACCTTCAACTCGCCCCCTCTCCTAGGTCTTGGATGACAAACGCAAATGGTGGAAGGTTCGGCACCCGAACGGGCAGGAGGGATATGTGCCCTTTAACATTCTGACCCCCCATCCAGGACCCCAGGGGGGCCGAAGCCCTACTTGCATCCTGGTGAGGCTGGACTCCTGGGTCTTGAGGGAAGAGGGTCTGGGGTTAGATCCTGGATCTCAAGAACACTGAGGAAGTGCTTGGGGGCGGGGCTCAGATTTCTTTCCAGAAGGAAGAGGGGCTGGGGTCCATCCTCCTCCTGACCCCTCCGTCTCCCCTCCTTAGGAAAATAAAAACACACACCCTGCGACCCAAGCCCCGCCCCAGGTACCAGCACCAGTTCGGTCCCACTGGGACAGCTGTGATGGCCTCAACAACCTAGACCCCAGTGAGAAGGGTGAGTGGTGGGTTCCCCGGGAAAACAGGCTCAGAAAGACCACGTGAACCCAGGGGAAACCTAGACTCAGAGTACCCGAACCCCAGGGGAAACCGAAGCTCTGAGAGAGCACGCGGGCCCTTGGTGAAACTGATGCTCAGAGAGCCAATCACCACGTGATCCCTCCCGGCTCTCCGCCTGTAGAGAAATTCTGCCAGATGCTCAGTATCAATGAGGAGCTGCAGGTGCGCCTGGCGCAGGGCCGCTCGGGCCCCAGCCGCGCCGCCCCAGGACCCCGCTCCCGGGAGCCGCAGGTCAGCCCGCGTTCGGATGCCTCGGAGGTCCGCGCCTGGCTGCTGGCCAAAGGCTTTAGTTCCGGGTGAGTAGGACCGGAGCTCGTACGTGGACTGTGAGGGGCGAGCGCTGGGAGCAAGCATTCTGATCAGTTGGAAGGAGGGTGTGGCAGGCCCGGTTTGAACATCTCATGTTTGGCATGCTTTCTTGGGTTCTCATTGGACTACTCAGTGAAGCCCAGCCCCCGTGAGCTAGAGTGCTGCTGATTGGACAAGTGGCTACGCGGGCACGATGTGATTGGCCGGCAGTTCTGATCGTACTCCCCCACTGCCCCTCTGTAGAACGGTGACCGCGCTGGGCGTGCTGACCGGTGCGCAGCTTTTCTCGCTGCAAAAGGAAGAGTTCCGGGCTGTGAGCCCCGAGGAGGGGGCTCGTGTGTACAGCCAGGTCACCGTGCAGCGCGCGCTGCTAGAGGTAAGCTCGGCCATTCCAGAGCCCAGGCGGGGAGGGAAATGAGGGGAACGGACACCGGGAGTTCATGCCTTCCCTTGCCCTTCAGGACTCAGAGGAAGTGTCAGAGCTGGAGGCGGTGATGGAGAAGCAAAAGAAGAAAGTGGAAGGCGAGACAGGGTCGGAGGTCATCTGACCTACAGAAAGTTTTGGGGCAGCGAATTCAATCCTCTTGTGGGAGGATGGACTCTTCCGGCTTTCCCCAACCCGGCGGCCAAAGCTACGGGTCCCTGTCTAGTCCCGCCCACCTTTGCGGATTGGCTGGTAGCGGCAGGGGGCGGGGCGTGAGACGACTCATAGATTACGCCTGCGAATCATGCCCGCTACAGGGCGAACTCCAGAGCCCTGTGGGATGGCTTATACTGTACAGTCTATAAACAGCCTCCTCTTATTAGAAACCTCTGCTTTCTCCTCTCTACCAGGTCTGGAGTCCTGGTTTGGCACCGTATTGTTTGGTTTGAATTGCAAGGTCAGTAGTTCAAATTCACCAGCCGTTCCTCGGAAATCCTATATATAGGGTCATGAGTCCAAAAGGACTTCAAAGCACTTAACGGGCTACCGGAGTCCTGGTGTGGTGCCGCAGCATAAGCACTGGACTGTTAACCGCAAGGTCACTAGTTCAAACCCACCAGTCTCTCCCTGGAAACCCTATACAGGGTCGCTGAGTCGGAACCCACTGGTCCGCACTGGGAACCCAGGAACCTGCCCTCCGCCCCCGTGATGGCCTTGCCACCTTAGTTTCTTTCTGCTCCCTCCACTACTACATCTTCCTCCTGATCTCCCCCAAGTTCCCATGCCTGGTGGCGCTGTAGCATAAGCACTGGACTGTTAACCACAAGGTCAGCAGTTCAAACCCACCAGCCACTCTGAGGGAGATGAGGCTGTTCTATAAGATCGTCAACCAAGGAAACTATCGAGGGGTGCTACTGGATGCTAGTGGCTTTGGGGTTTGTTCCTCTGCTCAAAAATCCCTGACTCAGTTTCCTGGCATTCCAAGCCTGAGTGGTGTGGGGGATGGGCATCAGCCGCTCCAGCCTCATCTTCTCTTCCCCGCCTCACACCCTGAGCAGGGCAGCAGAAGACATTAGCGTGGGGTCTCAGCTCAAAGTCTTGTCTTCCTTACCCTCCCCACCCACCGATGAACACCTACTCACACATCAGTGTCCCCACCCAGATGGCCCAGTGGCTCTGGCTCAGCCCAGACCCAGGAAGACGCCCTCCTGAGGCTGAGCCATGGTCACTCGAGTGGCAACATCACGTCTTTATTTGTGGCGCCTGTGGTTTTGTCTCTCAAAAAATATCTTCTCCCCCTGCCCCGGACAGCAGGCGGGGAGGGGGCAGCAAAAAATAGAAGACATCCCTCCCTATTGCACATGGATGTGGCCCTCAGAGAAAAACAAACAAACAGATGCAATCCCCTATATACAGGCCCTCCTGGCTGCCGCCGGGCAAGGCTCTTGGCACATTCTTGGATCCCTGTTTGGGGAAGGGGAGGGGGTGGCTGAGGGGGCGTCACACGTGAGGTGGGGGACCCCCGGGGCGGCTACTCTGGTCCCTGGCTTCTGGTCTTTGCGTTCCCTGGTCCTCAGTTCCTTCCTGGTCCCGCCTGCAACCCCGGTGCCCTCAGCGACATCCCCCTACCTGGCTCAGCCTCCCACCTCCCCTCCCTTCCTCTGTCCTTCCATCAGTCCGTCAGGACCTCAGATGGCCCCCTTGGCCCGGTCTGGAGGTCCCCAGGGGAGTTATGGCTTCGCAGAGACGTCCCCCGGAGCTCTGTCACTCGTGTTCACACAGGGAAGGGTGCGTGAAGCAGAAGCGGCTGTATAAATACGGTGGGGAGGGGCCATCTGCAGTCACTTGGAGAGCTTGCTGATGACACGGATCAGGGCTGCGTTCTCGTCCTTGAGCCGCTGGTTGTCAGCCCGGAGGTCTGACAGGGCCTGAGGGGCGACACACCGGTCAGCTCCGCGCCCCCCCCCAGGTCAGACATTGGCTGAGGGGTCCCCCATCCAGACCCCCACCAGCCTCACCTTCAACTCCTCCTCCAGCTCAGCGGCCTTGCGTTCCAGGGCCCTACGTTCCTGCAGCCGAGGGGAAGGAGGGTCTCAGGGGGCCTAGGGGCGCGCCCAAGGACCAGCAGAGTGAATGAAGCAGGTGGGATAGGATCCAGGGCCAGCTTAGAAAGTCAGTGTGGCCCTCTTGACCCTGACCCAGGTGGGTTTGAGGTCTGGAAAGACATTGGGCCGCCTCCCACCAGCCCTACTCACGAATCTCTCCAGCTCCAAAAGGGCTGGCCTCTCGGCGATGCGCTCCTGTCTCTGGGGACGACACAGTACGCTAGTGATCAGACACCAAACCCCACGGGCCAACAGTTCAGCTTCCTCACCCCACCCATCTCAGGCCTTAGTCATCCCCCACCCCCAAACACCATAAACCCCGCCCCTAGCCACGCCCATTACTCCTGATCCCAGGTGCCCCTGGAACCCACAAGCCCCACCCTCCTCACTTGGGCTCCGCCCCTGGGGTGGGTCAAGCTGGGGGCTGGGCCTCTACCTGCGTGGCGCGTTCCAGCTCCACCTTGAGCTGTGCCAGGCGCAGCGTGGTCTCGGTCAGAGCCTCGCGCAGCCGTTCGTTTTCCACACGCAGTTCCGCGTATAGCTAGGGACAGGAGGAGGCAGGGGATCAGGTGGGACCGCAGCCCAGGCCCACCTGGCCACAGCTAGGGTCCAGTGGATCCCACTGAGTCCCCTATAGAATCCAGCAGAACTGCCCCTAAGCTTTCCACGGGTGAAATCTTCACAAGAGCAGGCGCAGTAGTAACAGTGCCTAAGCACCGTGTCACCAGGCTCCTCCCAGCAGGCGGCTGTGGTTAAGTGCTGTGGAGTCAGCTCGACAGGGTTTCCAAAGAGCAGTTGGTAGATTTGACCCACTGACCTTGCAGTTGGCAATTGGGTGCTTATCCTACAGCGCCACACCAGGACTCCCAGGTAAAAGGGGTCTGGTGGCACAATGGCTGAGCACTTGACTGCTAACCTAAAGGTTCTAATCAACCCAGTGGCTCTGGAGAAGCAAGGCCTGGTGATGTGGTCAGTGAAGGAAGCCTCGAAGGCCATTCCACTGGGTCACACGGGCTCGACACTGACTCGGCGACCCCCAGTGCGGACACACTTAGCGGGGGTGGGATCTCGCACCTTCCGAAAACCTCCATCGGACTCGGCCGCCTCTGGTTTGGGTTCGGGGTGGAGATCCCGCTGGGGGCGCTGTCTGCGGAGTGCGGGACCACCATCAGGAGTGCTGGGGTGGCAGTGGAAGATGGACGGGCGTTAGAGGACGCTGCCCAGCCAGCCAGCCAGCCAGCCCTGCCCTGCCCTGTCCTCCCGGCTCCGGCTCCGTACCTGGATTCCAAGCTCCGCTCCTCGGGCTCTGTCTCCTCCCCCTGCAGGTCCGCGGGGGTGGGTTAGCGAGGACTGAGGGCACGAGGCCCCCTGCAGCCCCCACCCTCAGCACCAGCTGTCCCCCCAACTCCACCCCCTCACCTCAGCAGGGCCCCTGCGTTCCTTGCCGATTCTGCGCTGCTCTCTGGTGGTCTGCGGCCCCTGACCATCAGGCACGTCTGCTGGGGGCAGGGCAGGAATCAGCGGGGACCCCTACTGCGGCCCCGCTGCCCCCGGGAAGGACGTCCCCAGACAGCAGACCTCACCTCTCTGTGCGGGACCCTCAGAGTTCTCCAGCCCAGGGACGCGGGGCCTCCGGGGAGGGTCCTACGGGAGAAGGGGGTCAGGCTTTGGGTGCCAGGTGCCACCCCCGTCATTCCCCGGAGTCCACTCACCACGCTCGGTGGGGTCGGCTTCTCGGGCTCCGGGGCCTTTCCTGCGGCCTTCTCGGCCTCCTTCAAGTCCGTCAAGGTCACGCCCTGCCAGAGAGAGGGGTCCTCAGACTCATCGTCTCCTCTCCAAGGGCCCAGGGAGCCCCCAAACTCCTCCCTCAGATCAGCGAGTTCTGACCCCCCAAACCACTCCTCCCGCAGACCTGGGCGTTCTGACCCCTCTTCCTTCAGACCCAGGAGTCCAGGCACCCAACGCCACCCCCCACCTGTGTGGACCTCCGAGATTGGCGCATGAGGCGTGAGCGAGCCTTCCTCTGGGATTCAGACTCCTCGTCACGCACTGGCATCTGGTAAGACCTGAGCAGAGGGTCTGCGATCAGGGAGTTCTTTTGGGCCAACCCGTTGGGGCAGGGAATGAGTTCTGTCCAAGAGGACTTCAACTCCCAGCATGCCCAGTGACAAGCTATCATTAGGAGCCCCACCCTGAGCGGAGGGGTTCCTGGGTAACGTAGTTTACTCCCCTTGGGAGCCCTCCAGCCCAGACCTCTTACCTCCGCCGGTCCGTAGGGGGTGCTGTGGAGGCTGCGGGGGCAGCATTTGGCTTCATGGGGGGCTCAGGCTCCGGAATCCTGTCAGGAGGAGGAGTGGTGTTAACCCGGCAAGGAGTCTTCCCATTTCATTCATTCATTCAACACTGCTGAAGGCCACCTTGCTTGCTGGCCTCTGAAGACACCGCCCCACCACCCGCTGCAGACTGACATTGACCCCCCAGGACAAAATACAACTGCTCCAGGGGCCCTGAGACATCCATCTAGACGGGAGTAGACAGTCTCACTTTGCTCTCTCGGAGCTGCTAGTGGGTTCGAACTGTCAGCCTTGCAGTTGGCAGACCAACGCTTGGCTCACTCGGACACCCTCCTGGCAGGCAGTAACTACAGCAGCAGAGACCAGCTTTAGGGCGCTTCATAGAAATAGCGGGCTTTGGTTTTCAAGCTGAAGGGTTCGGGCCACCTCGTGTGGAGTGAGTCTCCGGGCACCATTTTTCCAGCAGCACGTGCTCACTCTGTGTGTCTGTCACATTTTGGTCCTTTCGCATTATTGCAACCTTTTCAAGCACACTTCACAGACAACAGCCCAGTGGCAACGTAACTTTTTTATGCGATAATCGCTCCATTGTGGTGATTGGGAACCCAACCCGCAGCATCTCGGAGCGCTGCCTATTTGGGTCTCTGTCCCAGACAGAGTCCAATGGGAGCGGAAAAGAGGCAAAATAAATACCGACCACAGAAATGAGTACATTACAGCTCAGGGGGGGAAAGGGCTTCAGGACACTGATAGGATCAGACAGGAAAGAGGTGGGCAGGTGGTGGCCACAGCAGGCCCCCTGGAGAAGGGGACGTTTGTGCACAGGCCAAGGGAGCAGGAAGTGGGCTGTGTGGTTGTTTGAGGGCAGAGCTGACCCAATGCCCAGGGCAGGAGGGCTTCGAGTGGGTCAGAGTCCATCTGAGGAGTCAGGCGGGGTCCTTAGAGCCTCAGGGACCACAGTTAGCAACTTGAGAGTTACTGAAGTGGAAACTGAGGACCAGACCTCAGAAAGGAAATGACTTGGAACCCAGCCCTGCCTCCCACCCTCAGTGGGGTCCCGGCACTCACAGGGCAGGGGGCTCCACCACCTTCCTGGAGAGGGTAGGGGTGATCCTGGCAAGACGTGGCTCCTTAACCTGTGTAGAAGGGAGAGGAGGAGAAGGGAAGAGGGTAACCCACTCCTCATCTCAGCCAGGTAGGGGCCTGGTGTCCGACCCACCTCACCCTACACACCTGAGTGGAGGAGCCTTCCAGCCGGGAAGAGGAGGCTGAGCGCTGCAGTCCCGCCCCAAGCACTCCCTCAGCTGCACGCCTTTCTGGGGGGCCTAGGGTGCCCGAGCTGCTCGTCTTCTGGAGGCCAAAGCGCCTGGGGAAGGGGGTCTCTTCTGGCGGCTGGCAGAGAGGAGTTCTCAGTGAGGCAGAAGCACCCTGCCTTCAGCGGGACCACCACAAACTACAATTCCCATGGGCACTTGGGGCAACCAGACAGTTGGTTGTCCCAGAGGATTCTGGGAACCTGTTTTCATTCTCGGATGGCTGGCCCCACCCTCCTGGTCCCAATCCCAAGGCCTCTGCTCAGGGCTCTGTGACTCACCGTGGGACTCTTAGGGGTGGAGGGTGGTGGGGAAGAGACTCCGTTGAGGGATCTGGTTTCAGCAGCGGGGGACTCTGGTGTGGGATGTCACAAGAACAGGCTAGCTGCCTCCAAGGACCATAGAGCCCAGCCCCTCCCCCTCAGATCCGGGAGGCCTGGTCTCAGCCCCTCACCTGTGGGGCCTTCTTCTCCCTCGTCTTCATCTCGGATGGGATGCCCATCCTTCCCTGCTGGTCGGCGCTCCTTGGACAGATCCTGGAGGGAGATCTTCTCTCGGCTGCTCAGACGGCACACGGAGCTCCTGGGAGAAGCGAAGACAGGGAGGTCTGAGCCCTGGGGCACCTCCCGCTGTCCCCACCACCCCAGGCACCCCCTCCCCTCCTACCGGCGGTGTTTGCTGCTGGAGGGGCCCTGTGGCTCGAGGCCCTGTAGATCGGGGCCCCTATTCTGGGAAGCTGCCCTCTGGTTCCGCAGCTGCCGAGAGAAGAGGGGCTACTGGGAAGGGGCTGCCCTGTGCCATGGTTTCCCCACGCTGAGGTTCTCCAACGACAGGGCCTGGTCCAGGACCGGCTGGGCAGCTGTGGGGGTACTAGGCCTCCCTCCCACTCCCTCCTCCCATGAGCATCCCTGGCCTGGGACTCACGTCTTCCTGTTTCTGGGCCAGCTCCTCCAGCAGGCTCAGCACCTCCTCATCAGCGAGGTCACAAGGACGCTGACCCTGGGTGGAGGGGACAAGGGCAGGTGATGAAGGGGCTGTGGGACCCCTCCTCACCTCCACTGGCCCCGGGCCTGGCCCTCACCGCGTGAGTCAGTGAATCCATGCCCCCACCGTGCTCGGCCAGCAGGCGGCAGGCATCTTCCACGCCCCAGTGGGCAGCGGCGTGCAGAGGTGTCCAGCCGTCTCCATCTCGGAGCTCCGTGTCGTAGCCAGCCTGAAGGAGCAGCCTGGGGGCCAAGGAGGCTCGGGGTCAAGGTTAGTGGGGGACAGAGGCAGGGGGTCTGGGCCGGGTTGAGAGGTGGGCAAGGCTGAGCTCAGTGCAGAGCTCAAACCATCGAAACACTCCCGAGCCTCCCAAGTGACCCCTTGGCCATGTAACCTTGACCCCCCTCCCTCCTACACACACACACCCCCGAGGAACTAAAGGGATCAATGACTGGGATCGACTCTTTTCCTGGATGAGATCTCCGAGGAGGAGGTGAGGGTGGAACCAACTACTTGAAGGGAAAGCAGTGTAAAAGTCAAAGGTGGGCAAAATGGGTCCCAGAGAGCGAGGCAAGGGGGGCAGGAGTGGGATGTGCCGCCTAACAATTTAACACGCATGCACCAAACGCAGATTAAAGTAAGACATTAAGAGAACTGCAGGAGAAACAGGCAAATCTGCAACCACAGGGAAATGTTAATACAGCTTTCACAGTCACTGACAGGAGCTGAGAGTGGGCTTCATTTACTGTAACGATGCTGCGGACTAAACAGCATGATTCCAGAGCTGCCCAATTATCCTGACAGATGTGGTGGCTGACAACATAGTCTCCCCCAGCTCCATAATACTGGGGTAGAAAGCAAACTGCAATCAATTTCAGAAAACTTGAATCATACACAGCACATTCTGACCATAATGCAATGAAATCAGAAAATGAATAATAAAATGTTGACTAGGAAATCCCATAATTTGGAATTCAAGGACATACCTCTAAATAACCCAGAGGTGAAAAGACAAAGGTTACTACTTAGAGAATGTTTTCAACTGAACAACAATGGGAAGATTACATATCAAAACTTTAAAGATGCAGCTAAGGCTGTAGTTAGAAGGAAATATATAGCCTTCAGGAGTCCGGGATGGTGCTGCGGGTTAATGCACTAGACTGCAAAGTCAGTTTGAACCGCAAGGTTGGCGGTTCAAGCTCATCAGCCAATCCCTGGAAACCCTATACAGGGTCACTATGGGTTGGAACCAACTCGACGGCATGTTAACAAACAACAAACATATATAGCCTCAGGTGTGTACATAGAAAATGAAGGAAATGGACAAGATGCGGAAGGAGATGTAGGACATAAAAACGAGCCCCGAGCAAGGGAGGCTACAGTTAGCCCAGCTTACCGCATCACCTCAATGTAACCCTTCGCGGCAGCCACATGCAAGGCTGAGGCTCCGGTTCGGGGGTGCCGGGCTTCGGGCATGGCACCCCCATTCAGCCAGCACCTTGTGTCATGAAGCAGCAGTTCCTCCTCGGCCCGCTTGGCTGCCTCCACGTCCACACCTGGCAAGTGAGAAGGGTTATTTAACAGTAACGGGATCCCAGGGCTGAATCCTTTCCCTCGGTGCCCTCCTCCGGGACTGGGAGGGCATGGAGGAGGCCAGCAGCTTCCCGACTGTTGTTTGGGAGTTGGGGGTTCCACTAAGGGTGTCTGCATCCCTGCTGATGGCTGAGAGAAGAGAGCCCAGGCCTTTTCTGTCCAACTAGAACATCTGCATCACCACCACCGCCACCAAAATCACCACCACTTATACGTAGAGACTGACGTCCACTGAGAAAACCCAGCATTTGGTGACACCAGCTTATCCCTGGTGTCATGGATTGAACTGTGTCCCCTCCCAGAAACTGTGTGTTGGAATTCCTACCTCCCACACCTGGTGTGGTACTAAAGGGGCAGCAAGAAGGCACCACAAACCCACCAGCTCTCCTTGGAAACCCTGTACAGGGTCGCTATGAGTCGGAACAACTCGATAGCATACGACATCCCTGTGGTTAAGGAGACCTGGTGACACTGTAGGATAGACACTAGAATGCTAACCACAATGTCAGCGGTTCAAACCCACTGGCCACTCCGCAGGAGAAAGATGAGGCTGTCTCTGCTCCCATAAAGATTTCTAGTCTCAGAAACCCTAAGGAGTTCTACTCATACTACAGGGTCACTATGAGTCCAACTTGACTAGAAGGCTTCTCTGGTTTGGTACTGTGGTCATAACCGGATCTGGGAACAGGAGTGAGGCAGGATAGTGTCGGATGTGTACTGAGACCCGGGGAGTGAGCAAGCAGCCCAGCTAGTCAGCAGGACGGGGCGGCAGGTGCTGAGCTATACAAGCTCTCCCAGTGACCGCAGCTCGGGAGACAGACCTTCCTCCAGAGCCGACAGGAACCACTCTGTCGTGGAGCCAGCGCCCCTAACGTACCTGTCTGTCTCATGGTATTACAGACACCAGAGAACAGAGACCACTACCGCTATAATCTTTGACCAGCTTGTTTCATCACTATGATGATTTCGGCCAACATTAGTAGGGTCAGCCAAGCAGAAAGTCACTAAACAGAGGAGTTGTCTCATTGTTGTTGTTAAGTGCCTCTGAGTCACTTCCAACTCATAGCAACCCAGTATAGGGTTTCCAAGGAGCAGCTGGTGAGTTTGAACTGCCGACCTTGCGGCTCAAGCCGACCTTGCGGTCTTGCGTTTCTCCTACAGCGCCACCCCAGAACTTCAGCTGTCTCAGTAGGCAGCAGCTTTCCTTCCCTCCCCGGCTGCTCGTTCCTGTTCAGAGATGTGCTGTTACATGTGCATCATGTTTGTTTGTATGAGCATGGTCTTGGTATCTATTTGTGTGCGTACTTGTAATACACATGCTGCTGTTGACTTGATCCTGACTCTAACAAGCCTGCTGGACACAGGAGAACTGCCCATGGGGTTTCCAAAGCCGTCATCTTTATGAGAGCAAACTGCTAAGTCTTGTCTCCTTGTAGTGGCAGGTGGGCTCAAACCTCGAACTGTCAGTTAGGAGCCAACTATTGCTCCACCAAGCTTCCTTATACTACACACGTTGTTGTTAAGTGCCGCTGAGTTGCTTCTGACTCATAGCGACCCTGTACAGAGTTTGTAAAGAGCATCTGGTGGGTTTGAACCACTGACCTTATGGCTATCAGTCCAATGCTTATCCTACAGCACCACACGAGGACTCCACATAAACATACACAGATACACTTCTGAACATGTAGACGTAAGACACACAGACACAAGACACACACCAGTTGGCTGAGTCAGTTCTGACTCATGGTGAACCCACGTGTTCGAGCAGAACTGTGCTCCGTTAGTCCTTGTTGCTTCAACGCCCCCTTTTTCAGAAGTAGATTGCCAAACCTTCCTTCTGATGCACCTCTAAGTGGATTCAAACTGACAACCTTCTGGTTAGCAGTGCCACCCATAGCTCTACAAATTCTACATCTGAGCACACCTTGGAGATCTTCTGGGCTCAGTGCCATACCCCACAATAAAGGAAGTCACCTGAATTCTTGTGGACTCCCAAGTACCCATGAAAGCGACCTGCGTGCACTACTGCAATCTACTAAGTGTATTCCTAGTATCATGAGGACATTGGGAAGCTAGTGAGAGGCACCAAAATGGGGCAGAATCGAGGTGGGCAGTGCTGCTGGCTAACTGCTGGATGTGTCTGACATTTAAAAAAAACAAAAAAAAGATGAATCAATAAAACCAAGCTGCGTGCCTGTGAAGTGGGGCGGGCCGGACACCAGGGCTGTCCATTCTGCCACCGGCCACCAGTGGCGTCCAAAGGAATCAACCATGGACACATAAGCCAGAGAGCGGGATCCTGGGTCCCAAGATGCCATCAGACCCACCAGGTTCCCACTGCAGCTTGGTGCCACCTGGGTCCTGTGACTTAACCTCCAGAGGGTCACCTTCGGGTTCCTGAAGACAATGGAGGCTTCCCAGACAATGGAGGCTCCAGGGGCTGAGGGGTTAGTGGTTTCTACAGCAGTGGACCCACCCGACCGTGGATTGTCCACTTTTTTTCTGCAACCACTCAACTAACTAATTCCAAAACGTTTGTTAAAAACACCCCAACCAGAAACTCTATTACACCTATTAAGTAAGCAACCACTGGCCCTTCCCCTAGATGGAGTCCTGATGGTACAAGGGCTAAGCACTAGGTGGTTAACAAAAGATCAGCAGTTCAAACCCACCTAGTGCTCTGCTCCTGTAATAACTACAGCCTGGAGCACTGCTACATTGGCTTGTCAGGAGTCAAGAAAACCCATAGAGCAGTTCTGTCCTATAGCACACAGGGACACCATGAGGCAGGGAAAGCCCATAGAGCAGTTCTGTCCTATAGCACACAGGGACACCAT